CTCTGTCTCAAAAAAAAAAAAAAAAAAAAAAGAAAAAAAAAAGAACCATCCAGGTAAAGGGACCAAGGTGTTCTTAGCTTTTGAAAATTCTAGTATCGGGAGGTGCCTGTGGCTCAGTGAGTAGGGCGCTGGCCCCATATACCGAGGGTGGCGGGTTCAAACCCAGCCCCAGCCGAACTGCAACAAAAAATAGCCGGGCATTGTGGTGGGCGCCTGTAGTCCCAGCTACTAGGGAGGTGGAGGCAGAAGAATTGCCTAAGCCCAGGAGTTGGAGGTTGCTGGAGCGACTCCACTGTACTCTACCAAGGGTGAAAAAGTGACACTCTGTCTCTACAAAAAAAAAAAAAAAGAAAAGAAAACTCTAGTATCTCTCAAAAACCATACCTGATGTGGAAAGCAATGTTGGGGGATAATATCAAACAGCAAGTCACAAACCAATGGGGGGGTGTCAGGGACATGCACAAACAAACTGACTCTAACCCTCTCACCCCATTGGTATGCAACTGTTAATAATTCCAATAGATAGGCATGGTCATTATTTTTGTGAGATGAATACATTAGGCTATCTTGGCCTAATGCCACTGGATATCTGATTCCTTTAACACCTTTTGATCTCACGCTCACTAAATAACTTTCTAATAATTACTTGACTTTTTAAATCATTTGCCCATGGAAAGAAAATAAAATGCAGCAAGCTTAAAACATACAGGTCTTTGTGGTAATTATTTTTCATTGTAAATTAATATTTTTATTTAAGCTTTAAACATTAGCCTCTTGACCTGAAAAATCTGAGTTTACTTCTGAGTCAGTTAATGTTACAGGTGAAAGGAAAAACAGAATCAGACTTTTGAGCCTACAAATCAAAGGCCAGATTCTACACTATATAAATTAAAGAAGGTAATGAATGCTATCCTGTGCAACCTCTTGATTGAAATTCTCCTGCCTTTGTTTTGGTGTTACATATCCCATCCAACATCATCAGGTGTTATTACCCAGTACCGAGCCTTCTTCAAATTTCCACACTACACCATGGCATTACAAATCAGTCATTCTCTTTTAATCACAGTGTTTTCATCTGTACAATAAATAGCATTATTTTCTCTATGTCAAAGAAGATACGTGGCTCGGCGCCTGTGGCTCAAGCGGCTAAGGCGCCAGCCACATACACCTAAGGTGGCGGGTTCGAATCCCCAGCCTGGGCCCGCCAAACAATAATGATGGCTGCAACCAAAAAAAAAATGGCCGGGCGTTGTGGCGGGCGCCTGTAGTCCCAGCTACTTGGGAGGCTGAGGCAGGAGACTCGCTTGCGCCCAGGAGCTGGAGGTTGCTGTGAGCTGTGATGCCATGGCACTCTACCCAGGGGGATAGCTTGAGGCTCTGTCTCAAAAAAAAAAAGATAAGTGAGGCTAAATATACCTTAAGAATACGCCGTACACTGAGGTATTTGTTCTTATAATGCTTTATATAAATACCTATACATTAGAAATAAATCTGTAAGGATTAAAATCTAACATTTCTATTTCCTAATTTTCTTTTTTTTTTTTTTTTTTTGAGACAGAGCCTCAAGCTATCCACCTGGGTAGAGTGCCATGGCATCACAGCTCACAGCAACCTCCACCTCCTGGGCTCAAGCGAGTCTCCTGCCTCTGCCTCCCAAGTAGCTGGGACCACAGGCGCCCACCACAATGCCTGGCTATTTTTTGGTTGCAGCCTTCATTGTTGTTTGGCAGACTGGATTCGAACCCGCCACTTTAGGTGTATGTGGCTGGCGCCTTAGCCCCTTGAGCCACAGGCACCGAGCCTATTTCCTAATTTTCTACGGGGGAAGCTAACAGTATCACCTAATTCAAAATTATCCAATACCAGATGTATTTACAAACAAGTAACAATAATTTTCCATTCCATTGTTAAACAACATAAATGTATGGTTTATTTTTCTTATTACATGTTGTAGTGCATGTTTTTAAACCACTTATTCTATGTTGTAAAAAAAGACAGCCCTAAGGTTGGGGACATGATCTCTCCATTTTTTGGAAATATAATAGAAAAAAGTGGAGAATAACATACTTCCTGCCTGTGACTACTGCATCGTGGGAAGTCTGGAAGATCTGGACATTGAGAATGAGCTTTTGACTATCAACACAGTTGTCTAAGGGACCAAAACAGTTTCAGTTGTGAGCCTAATGCCTTAGTGCCTCAACTGCTTTGACAGAACTACTACTCAGGAAAGATTAATATTTAAAAGAAATGAGAAATTAAAAAAAATACGTAATGAAAAAACTGATGAAAGTATTCCTGTTAACATTCAAATAAACAAAGGTTAGCCTCCCACTAAAATGAATTACTTAAATTTTAAATAATCCCAAATTATACTGTCTACTGAATAAATACAATTCAACTGCCAGGCTCTTCTTACCTATGCCTAGACTATCTTTTCATGCTTACCTTCCAGAAAGACCCATTTTCGAAGACTACTGTTTTCTAGACAAATTATACTATTTTTTGCTCTCTGTCCATTTTCAACATGGTTTAGCATGGGTCTTTATGCCCACTTCTTATTTATGTCTAAAATATCCTCTCCTTCTCTAGCAGTTGAAATCAATGATTTATTCACCTATTTACCAAGTAATTGCTGAGTAGCTGTTCCTTCCATATGTTAATCCAAATGCTGGAGAAACAAAATACAATTAAAAAGGGACTATTCCTACTCTTACAGCTCTTACCGCAAATATCACCCCCTCCCAAATGCCTACCCTCAATCTCTTCCTTCATGAAGTCAGAACTATTCAGAACTTTCAAAACACTTCTTACCTACACTTACCCTTGTTTTGTAGTTTCTCATGTACATGCAAAAGCTCTCCTACTAATCCATGGGTTCCAGGGTAAAGCATCATTATATCTTTGCCAAGGGCCTGCTATTAAATAGATATTCTGTACACATTTACCTAATAATTTTTAAATTAACTTAGTTGTAAAGCATGTCTTTTTCATAATTTCAATGTCTTCAATTTGTATATTTCCTATTCTTCTAACAGCAGGCTGGAGTCAGACTGAAATCTGGCTCTTATCAACTTATCACCTACGTATGTGAGCAATTTACTTCATCTTGCTTTGTCTTACAAAGGTCCTTACTTGTAAAACAGGGATGATTATGGTATTTCTATTGTACAAAGTTGTGGTGATGATTCAATGAATTGATATGTATAAGGTACTTTGAATATTACCTGTTATTTTTATTATTATCCAAACAATATTCTTGTCTTGATTACTCAACTTCTGGCAGAAGAACCTTATAAGTTTATAAAATGTACTGTATTACACATACAAATTCATCCTCAGTTTTTACAGATTCCTTGCTTGTGAATTCTTGCTAAAATTTATTTGTAATACCAAAATCAATACTCAAGCTGCTTTCATAGTCATTTGTAGACATGGACAGATCAACAAAAAATTTGAGTTGCTGGGCACACATTTCCAGTTAAGGTCAAACAAGACAACCACACTCTGTTTCAGCTCTCATATAGAAAAGGACCAGAGGACAGAGATGGGAGGGGGTAGTGAGGTGCAGTGCAAGAAGCTCCAGCTTTAGGGCAGTTGACAGGATTTGAATTCCAGCTGTGGCACCTGGTATTAGTGGGGTGGCCTCAGACTAGTCACTACTGAATCTCAATCTCTCTTTTCAAGAATAAAGAAATTATATCTACCAGGATGGACTGTTTGTAGGATATTCATTTAGAAGCACTGATTTGCTAAATAAGTGTTCCTAATAACTTTATAGAACATAATTAACATGAATAAAGAGAATGGACTGCTTTTTTTCTTAATAAATCCATAAAATTTCATTTTGTTGTGAAAATATTTTTAGAATTTCACAATGATAGCTAAAATAAGTAGAAATACTTTTAGATGACAAAAAAGGATAGAAACCCTGGTTATAAATTTAGATCCTCCTGTGAATTCAGCTTAACACAGGCTGATCACTTTTAAGGAACTCAATAATGAATATTATCTTAAAAATGGCATTCCTGAGATTTGCATTTGCTTTTGAAATAAATTATTTTACGTACTTAAAGAATTTGTTTCAGAGTTTAATTATAAAATTTTGTGATTCCCATGAAAAACAAAAATATAAACACTTGCATAAAAAACTTTAAAGTTAATTACAAAGCTGCTGTAAGTTGGATGACTTCCTTAAAATAAACATACCATTTCATATATTTTAATTTTCTCTTTCAAGAAACTGATTTGCATTTTGAAGTCTTCCTTCTTTTTTTGATAATCTTCTAATAGATGGTCTTGTTCTTCCAGCTGTTGCTGATGAGTGAGGATTTGCTGTTTGGCTTGTAGTAAATCTGCAGCTGTGTTACTATGAGTGCTGTTTCTCAGAGTTTCGCTAGCCTGTAACTTGCAAACAGAAAGAAACATCAATTAAATTCCAAAATGACCGCCTTAGAGAACAGACACCTTTTAGGGTGTTACTCAGCCCACAATGGTGCTCTGGGAACTTTCCTGGCTTCACAGGCTTGTAATCCCAACAAACACGCTGCCATTGCTGACTGCATAAGGATGGGCACATTATCCAAGTGGAGGAAACAGTATTACCTTTCCCTTGAGAGAACAGAGAAAGGACGTCGCATGAGAGAAATATGATGGAGGAAAGCATACAGAGAATATTAAGGCCTAAAAAAACAATATTCTGGGTTCCAGACAACTTTCTAATTTCTACTTCCAATCCCTTTCATATTACACTCCCTGGTTGTATTTTTGCCCTTGAGTTCTGTAAGACAAGCTTGTATCACTCATTACACTAAATTTCTCCTTTTTACTTAAGCTATTTCAAACTGTTGTCTGTTACTTGCCATTAGAACCTTGATTACTGCAATTAGATTACTGTGGCTCTGATTATAGGTAAATGAAATATATACAGCCTAGTGACCATTTTAGAAACTAAAACCATACCAGCATTAGCAAAAGTAGAATGTGACTACAGTTTAATTTCAGCAAAAATTCCCTCAGTCAACCTTATAAGGTTTTGTAGGATTTCAAAGTAAAGACACAGAAGAAGTACAAAGAAAACAGCCGCAGACAACCACTCAAGAAGCATGAATTAAATTCTTGGTTAACATAACACATACATAATTAGTTTTTCCAACATGATATGACAAGCAAATGGCTTTTTAACCAACTTAACATTTGTTCTTCAAAGTCAGAAATCTTTTTAAAATTCATTACTAAAATATTAATAAATTTTGTTTCACTAGTAATACTTACATGCTGAAACTGAATCTGTAATTTTTGACTCTGTTCAGTCAACTCTAAAAATTCTCTCATTGTCTCATCCTTTTCTCTTCTTGCTTGTTGTAAATTAGCAGTAAGCTGGGTTATGATGCCATCTCTTTGTTTAATAGCAGCTTCAAATTCTTGTAACTAAAGTAAACCAATGAAAATACTAAGTGCTAGACTTCTTTTTTAAACAAAATTGATTATTATTATTATTACAGGTAACTGCTTTTCAAAAATGTGAAATTCAAAACATATATTGGCAGAATTCTTACCACTTGTAAGCAATCTTTTCTATACTTGAAGGAATTGGTTTTTACTTCCAAATCAACTTTGAAAAAAATGTATCTAAACTAAGGGAAAAAAGAATACTTTGATCTGGCTCATCCATTCACCCACTTCTGCAAAATTGTACCTTCATATTTATGGGTACACCAATGCTACTCCTTATAATACCACCACAGACACGTTCAATGCCAACTAGTTTCTGCAGAGGACTAAACTGAAATGCACTGTCACCCTCATCAATGTCCATGTCACTTTGTTTTCTTAATTGCCTGCAATGGACAACAGATATTACTCTAACCACACAGGTTACATATAAGGATTTGTTGACTTTTTTTTTTAAGAGACGAGATCTTACTACATTTTCCAGGCTAGATTTGAACTTTTGGACTCAAGCAATCCTTCTGCCTCAGCCTTCCAAGTAGCTAGGACTATAAGCATGCACCACCATGCCCAGCTTGGTGACATTCTTAATGGGTCTAAGTCATAATATTTTAATGTGGTTTGCATGATTATTTTCTCTCAAGCAGATTATAAAAATATCTGTTCTCCTGAAGTAATTTTGGACTAGCTATCTTATAAAGTTAAATGAGAGTCCCTACTATATTAGTCTTATTAATGAAATCCTAGTTTTAAAGAGGGTTGTTTATATCATATACAAGGTCAGAAATTATGAGATGATCTTAAGTTGCCATTTAGTCCTGCTTTATTGCTCAGGCTGGACTCAAACTCTGGGTAGCTCAGGCCATCCTCTTGCCTCAGCTTCTTGAATAGCTGGGACTGTTAAGTGTCTCCCAGCTATGTTATCGTTTAAAAACCCCATCTTTAAAGGGAGTACATATGCTATGCTATCATTCAAAGTTCCTATTTCTGTTTTTGTGAGTAGCAACTAAAAGACACAGAAAGTAAGCATACCTGCTGCAGGCCTTCAGTCCCACAGGTGGCTCTCAGTTCTTCCAGTTCTCTGTGTAGCTCTTCAATCTCATGCTGTTTTCCAGCTAATTCACTTTCCATCATCTCTAGATGAGTCTGACTGTACTGCGCTCCTTGTCCAGAGTAAGAATCATCAACATCAAATCCTTCTTCCTAAATCAATTCAAGATTTTTAATAAATCAGGACTAGCAACATTCTTTAGGGAGATGGATTCAAATATTGAATTCCACGGCAAAGTCCACTTTAAAACATCACTCATCACCTGGAACTTTACTGGCATGGCAACTTACTTTGTTGTTAATATGATATATACCTCAAGAGCATAAACAAGAATATCCACAAAGTCTGTTACAGTTGACTTTTATGATAAAAGGTAAGTAAGTCTGTTTTGTTAAACATTAAAAATCAATTTGAAATCACACAGAAAGAGGTACATGCAGGAAAAAGTTTTGTTAGTAAGCCAGATAATTTTAAATGATATAAAACATTAGTATCACAAGCAATTTTAAATACTGTACCCTTAATACATTTGTAGGCTTTCCTGTTCTCATCACAAATCTGCAACCATTTACCTGTATAAAAACAATTTCCTGATATAATTATGATCTTAGAGAGAATTTTACTTAGCGAATGATATTTCTGCTAATTGTGTTCATGCCTTTGTTGTCTTTAATCTCTAGAGAAAATGCCTCATTGGCAAAAACAGATACAGTGATTAAATTTAATTGAAGTATTTAAAGATTATGACTGTTTCAAATGCCAACCATTCCCTGAACATCTCAATGCTCACGATGCAAAAGATACTAAAGTATGTATATACATTTTCACTTCAACAAATTAAGGTTCTAACTAAGTGCAACTTCTATTTGGTTTTCAGGATATAAACCTCAAGTTACTGGATCCTCTTTTATAAAATGCTTAATTTAAATAATTGGTTTTGGACTACATCATTATTCATTTTCAAGTAAAACCACTTACTGATAGAAATTTCTTGAAAGCTGGTAAGCAAGTCAAAACACAGGAGGTAAGTGGTGAGGAACACTCCCTCGAGAACTTTGTACTGGGGCTAGAACTACGATAGCTATGCCAGCACTGACCAATGTCAAGGTTTTCCAGAACACAGTACTACTCACCTCTAACACAAATGTTTGTGGTAGGAGGAAAAGGATGACATCAAGTCTCCAGGGTTGACCTCGTGAGGATTAGTTTCACATCAATTAATCCATTTCATAATCATTCTTTGTCGCTTAATAGTGCGAAAACCAACTTTATCCTTCCCTACATCTTAATTATTCACAATTCCATGTTAAAAGAATCCAAGCTAATGAAGTTGTTACTGCTGGAATGCATAGCACAGAATAGCCTACTACTAGAATTAGATCCCTACGGGCCACACACTTTAAAAAGTGGAAATCCTGGCTCGGCGCCTATAGCTCAACCGGCTAGGGCGCCAGCCACGTACACCTAGGGTGGCGAGTTCGAATCCCCAGCCCGGACCCGCCGGGCAACAATGACGGCTGCAACCAA